TTTCATTAATAACCCATTATGTTGCTCGGCTATAAGAAGATGTGAGATAAGTTCAGAATACTTTTTAAATCCAATCTCTCGATATTGTTGTTGCAGGAGCATATTCGAGACATGAAAAGTGGTGAAAGTTTTCTCCAACATATCATGATTAGTAATATTATCACCACATAACTTCAATTGGGAAATAATTCTGAACATAGTAGAATTATACTCACTGATAGATTTACAATCTTGTAGCCTTAGATGAGTCCAATCATATCGTGCCTGTGGAAGAACGACCATCTTCAGGTGGTCATATCTATCTTTCAAATTATTCCACAGTATGACTGGATCTTTAACAGTAAGATATTCCATTTTCAGGCCCTCATCAAGGTGATGGCGTAGGAATATCATTGCTTTGGCACGGTCTTGGTTTGATGCCTGATTTTTGTCTTTGATGGTGTCTGCCAGACCCATCGCATCAAGATGAATTTCAGCATCAAGCACCCAAGACATGTAGTTTTTGCCCGATATATCCAGCGCTACAAATTCAAGTTTAGAAAGATTTGACATTATTTAGGAAAAGAAAGTTCTTACCTCAGATACTTTCAAAATATTTGCTCGAGATGGCAGAGTCTCGTGCTGATAACGTGTTATAAAATAAAGACTGTAAAGTAAAGACAAGTATAGAGAGAAACTGATATATTATTCGAATTCAAACTGATGTACATAATGAACTGAAATCTCTTCTATTTATAGAAGAAAGGAAGTTGATGTGTAAGCTGCTACTGCAAGCTGCTACTATACCAGATATGGATAATCTTCTACTGAGAGCAATGTTTATCCATAACGGAGTACTGAATGGATAAGCTTATTATACCCGGTATGAATAATCTTCTACCTAGGGTAATGTTTATCCATAATCGGGTACCGAAGTGATAAGCTTCTTCAGGAAGCTTATTTCCAATAGAGTACTAAATAGATAAACATATTTACGGTGGAGTCCCATATGGATAAGCTTCTTCAGGGAAGATTATTTACAACGGAGTACTAAATGAACATCCGTAATATAATATATTTATAACAAATCTATATTTTTAGTAATTTATCTACTAATTTTTTAGTAATTTCGAGCTTAATCGGATCTAGTTGATCTCAATTATTCTCACAGGCAGTGAAGTTATACTCCATTCCATAAACACGAAAACGCGTTAATACTTCTCATCAAAAAGCGAGTCTTGATCTTCAACTCCAATAATAATCTGGAATGGCATGGCCTTCAATTTCTCCTACTTCCACACCACTCTAACCTCACTGTTCCTCCTCACCATTCTCCTCTTCTTCTTCATCGTCCAATATTCCCCAAATCCTATTCCCAAATCTCCCCACAGGTCCCTCTTCAATGTCCAAAAATCAAATCCTTCTCCCTGCAATTTCACTGACTCCAATGGAATCTTTAACTACTTTTCCTTCCACTATTGTCTCTTCCAAGAAAACCCATTTTTATCCATCCCCTTTTTCACCTTTTGTGTATTTCTACAGTTCTACATCCTCATTAAAACTGCTCAAGATTACTTTTCTGTTGTGGTTACTAAGCTTTCTTCCCATCTTAGGTTGTCACCTTCAATGGGTGCAGTGACCCTTTTGGCTTTAGGAAATGGTGCCCCTGATGTTTTTGCATCTGTGGCTGCAGTTAGGGGAGGCCAAGCAAGAACTGGTTTTGGTGCTATTCTTTCAGCAGGGACTTTTGTCTCTGCTTTTGTGGTTGGGTTTGTGGCGATTTACGCAGCGCCTTTTCCTGTTGATCCTGCTCCTTTTGTGAGGGATGTGATGTTTTATTTAACTGCTGCTTTGTTCCTTTTTTATGTGTACTTAAGTGCTGAGATTTTCCTATGGCAAGCTATTGGGTTTGTTGGGTTTTATCTATTTTTTGTTGGGTTTGTGTTTTATATGGACTTTGGGATGGGTGGTGAGAAAGGGAAGGGTGCTAAGTCTGGAGGTGAGGTTGTTTTGGTTAGAAATGATGAAGTTCATGTAGGGATTATTGAGTTGGATTCTGAAAAAGGCAAAGTTTTGGGAACTTTAGAAGATGGAAAGAAGCAAACTACTGGGTCTTGGCAAGTTATCGAAAAGGTATGTTCTAAATTTTGCCAGCTTACACATATGGCGATTTCATGTTTTAGTGAATTATTCATTTTACCTGGCAACTGTATTGACATTTGATAGATGATATATTGAGCATTTTGAACCATCTTAGGGTGTAAAATTGCTTAACTTCCTGGTGTTTGTGGTCTTGCTTGTATGCTTTAATTATGAAGACACCAGTTGGTATGCAATTGTTTAAGAAGGAGAAGATTGAACATTTGCTGGACCAAAAAGATACTATAAACAATAAAATAAGGAGCTGATGAGAGGGATTGGGGTCTAATAGGATTGTCGGCATTCCTCTTGTGTAGGGAACGATTTGGTTCTGTTGTGCATTGCTGTGAAATATGATTAAATCCGATTAAAGTATTGAGATCAAACTACGACCTTGTACTAGCTCCATAGGCTTGAAAGAGGATATGTTTGGTGGGTTGGAGACGAGTCTAGTGTTAATGAAAAATCCATCTTGTAGCAATGAGAAAAAAGTTGGTACTCAACGATGTTTTTATGTTACTTAGTAACGTTATGATTGTATGTGCTGTCTGCTAGAATTTCGAGGTTGCATTTGTGACATAGTGAAGATGATTACTGAAAATTTGCCCCACATTCTGTGCCAAAAGTCACGTTTGTCTAGATTACCTTTGTCTGAACATCATGATCTTGACAAATGATGCTGCAAAGCTAAGTTGTTGTGTCCTTCTATCTCGGCCTCAAAAGTAAACCATCTGCTAATGCTAGCATTTTCAGGTTCTGAGATTTGAGTGGGGAAATTCAGCAACGACTGTAGTCTAGAGAGTGGCAAGTTGTTGGAATTAGGGAGTTAATCTAAGTAATATGCGAGCTTCATTGCTTAATGGAAAACTTATATGAAACGCAATCAACTCTGGCTATTGATCTTGGATTTCTACCAGGCTAGGATGTAAAAACTTAGTGGATAGCGTAATAGAGCCATGATGGAATGGCTATTGGTCATTATACTAGAAATAATCAGCTAGCATTCTAATTTCCAGTTAGTCTTTATCTCCCTGCTTTTTATGATCGGCAGGTATAGATGATTTTCCTTCTCTATGTGTTTCTGGAACTTCCACTATGCATGTAAACAAGCAAATTCTTACTAGATACTTGAATGGTACTTAGAGGTTTTTGGAGTGTGTAAAGTTCCCTTTTTAGTAATTCATGCAGAGGATATATAAAGGTTGTTATTTGTTTGTTGATGCATGCTACAAGATATGCTGTGAAGAGTTAGGCATCGGGTGCTCAAATTTCCTTTGAGATTCTTTGCTTTGTTGAGTTGACAATAGATTGGCTCTTTTTAAGTTTACTTATGAGGAAGTGAAAGCAGGACTGAATGATACTTACCTTTTGAGTTATCGATAGCGAGCGCAAAGCAAAGGATTGAGTGTTTGACATCGATCTATTTGGAGTGTACTAAACCCTCCTCAGTTAGAATTGATTACTGAAAAAGATACAAGATAGACATAGTTATATTTAATGACAAAAATGAGCATATAGGCTTATCAATGACTTAACCACTTTTTTTTTTTTTTTTTGAGAAGGTAACATATTAGTATATATAATAAATTTAGGTTACACAAAGCAGTGTAGTCCTATATAATTACAAGGGGAGTTGAAGCCTGAGATCCTAAGTCTTAACCTATCATAAGTAATCTAAAATTTCGTAAATAGATTCAGCTTCTTGTAAGTACTCCTGTTTACACCAAAAATAAAATAGGACTAAACAATTCATCTTCAGTTTCTGAATGGAACTTCTGTTATCTTCAAAACATCTTTGGTTTCTCTCTTTCCAGATTGTCCACCAGATGCAAGCTGGGACAATCCTCCATCTCTCTTTGTGCCCTGAAAGGTTAACATCTCTGTTCCAACAAGCTAGGACTTCCTGGATTCTCCTTGGCATGGTCCACCTGATTCCCCTCAAATTAATGAATATCTTCCATAATTGATCTGTCATTCTACAATGTAAAAAGAGATGATTGATTGTCTCGGCCTCTTCACCACATAAATAACATCTGGAACATAACTGAAAACCCCTCTTAATGAGATTGTCGTGAGTCAAAACTGCCTCTTTTGCCAATAACCATGTGAAGCATGCTACCTTGTATGGGATTTTAACTTTCCATATCATCTTCCTAGGCCAACAATCAATCTGATTGTTTGACAGGTTAAACTCCTTATATGCTGAGTTCACAAAAAAAATTCCTTGTGCATTCCTATTCCAAGACATACTATCCACTCTGGTTGAAAGCCCCCTGAATTGTTCCAGGGTGTTATAGAACTCTGTTAGTCTGTCCACCTCCCAGTCATTCAATAGTCTTCGGAAGCTAAGATTCCATCCTGGATTGCCCCATTCTTCTCTCACGCATGCTCCCTGGTGCTGATTCAGGTTGTAAATATCTAGAAAGAGTTGTTTCAATGTCCTTTGCCCTAGCCATTTGTCATCCCAAAAGGATGTTTTCATACCATCTCCTACTTTGAAACCGGACTTATTGATGAGCATTGGCCATAAGTTTCTTATGGATTTCCATAGACTGACTCCATAGGTGCTATTCACAGCTTTAGTGGTCCATTTACCATCCATCCCATATTGTATCTTGATAGTATCCCTCCACAAGGACTGTTCTTCAGCAGCAAATCTCCATAGCCATTTCATCATCAGGCTTTGGTTTTGGATTCTCAAATTCTTGATTCCCAGACCACCTTCCTTCTTACTGGTTGTAAGAGTACTCCATTTTGCCAAGTGCATTTTCTTTACGTCACTATTCCCTTGCCAAAGGAAATTTCTTCTGATAGCATCCGGTTTCTTCACAACACTAATAGGAATGGGAAACAGAGACATCATATAGGTAGACAAAGCATCAAGAACACTATTTATCAAAATCAATCTTCCACCTAGAGAGAGATATTGGTTCTTCCAATTGACTAGCTTTTTTCACACTTCTCAATCATTCCATTCCATATCCCTTTTGATTTACTCCTCGCCCCCAGTGGCATACCCAAGTAGATTGTTGGCAATACTCCTACTTTACCCCCTAAAATTGCAGCCAAATGGTGGATCTCATTGACTTCATTAACTGGATAAATGTTACTTTTACTCCAATTAATGTGTAATCCTGAAGTGGCTTCAAAGAGGATGAAACCACTCTTATACTACTACTTACCTCTCTCTTCTTCTTCTTCTTCTTCTTCTTCTTTTTCTTCTTTCTTTTTATATGTAACAGTGGGATCCAAACCACTCAAGACTCAACTATTCCACTAGGTACCGGCTAGCTCCCGCCAACACGGGTATCGAGTGATTCTGTCTGCCAAGGTTTAGGTAGATGAGAAAACTCACCTAGTGGCATTTTTGTATCTGCTGGGATTTAAGCCTCGATCTCCCATGATTTTCAACCCCTTTATGGAACAGTTGCCCGTACCCTTGGGTCTTTTTAGGGTTAAGTCTCTAATGTGACACTGACCTCTACATAGGGAGATCCATATACATAAGCCAAAATGTGGAATGAACTCCATGCTTGTGCTTTTCGAGTGAAAGAAAAGGATGGAATAAGGGGCAAGCAATTGACAAACAGAAACGCATGCCTAAGAAGTTGGTACGCTATATTAAGCTATACGAATTGTGATCACTATAACATTTCTTATGATTCATATGTGATAAATGTAATATCCCACATAGAAAGGAAATTTTGATAATGTGCTTAATGTGAAAATACGTTTTCAGCTTTCGACTTCTACGCCATGGTAGCCCAGTGTTGTTGTGTTGTGAAGTCTTTTAGGTTCTTCTTAAGATCCATGTAAATACAGACCAATTTATTTGCAAGTGTGCCATTTTTCGGTACACAAAAAATTTGTATTCCAATTTTATGAATTGTGACATTTTAACTTTTCTTTATTGACAGGTCACAGTAATCTGGAAACTTCCTGTCTCAATGCTCCTTAAACTCACTATACCACAGACTGCACCTTCTGAATGGAGTAGATTCTATCTATCTGCCAACATTGCTCTTTGTCCCCTCCTACTTCTCCTTTCCTGCAAATCTTTCGTGCCTTTAAATCATCCGATCTCTTTTCTACTCTCAGACACCCATTTTCCTCTATGGTTCATTGTATTTTGTGCTAGTTGTTCTTTGGCTATTCTTCATTTCATTGTTGAAAAGGAGGCCCCTAAAACAGAGCAAATGCCTGCAGTTGTTATAGCATTTGTGATGAGTGTATTTTGGATCTCCACTGTTGCTGGGGAGCTCCTCAACTGTCTTGCAGTTCTAGGAGTGCTCCTGAAACTGCCTGCTGCATTTCTTGGTTTAACAGTACTTGCATGGGGTAACTCAGTTGGTGATCTTGTTGCAGACGTGGCTGTTGCAAAGGCTGGCCAGCCGGCCATGGCCATGGCTGGATGTTTTGCCGGACCTATGTTCAACATGCTTTTCGGGCTTGGAACAGCTTTGGTTATACAGACAGCAGATGTATATCCAGAAGCTTATGAACTTCATTTTCATGTCAGTATCGTGGTTGCTTTTGTTTTCTTGCTGTTAAGCTTGATGGGATCTCTGCTGTTAGTAACTTGGAATAGGTTCCGGGTGCCAAGATTCTGGGGATTCTGTCTAGTAGGACTTTACATTGTTTTCATGCTAATAAGCATGGTCATTGCCAAGTTCTCTGCGTGAGTTTCAGAGAGAAAGAAGTGCTGAAAAGAGGTATAACACGTCGAGCAAGAACAGTCGGTTCATCCATCACTTGTACAGAACCATGTGGGAGCTGCTAAACTCTTGAATGAGTAACTAGATTGAATATGAAGCGCCTGGCAGTTATTAGCAGTGCACCTTATGTCAAAATCTGGAGAACTGGTTCTGCTTCGGTAACCTCGTTCACAAAACCAGTTAGACATACTATTGGTTTCCATGCAAGAATATATCATTTCATTTTTTCAACTCATTGTTGAGTGGCTAATTGAGTTGGATTATGTATCCATTCATATAATGGTATACAATAGAAATTATCTGGTCAACACAAGTTTCATGTAGGCCAGTTCTTTCCTTATTCTTTTCATATGAAATTGATGTTGAATTTTGGAGAAGAATGTTTAGCTAGGACAGAAGGAACGTTTACTCTCTTGTACTTTCATTTCATCCTCGATATGTTTAACCCTTAGTCATGCAGATTGCAGAACAACATCAATAGTTTCGTATTCTTCAAAGCTTTTGCTTGTTGGAGACTGAAATTGAATAAATGAATGGTCCTTAAACCGCTATGTTGGGTTGTGTTGAGTAGCCCTCCAGTTGAGGACAAGTAACAAAATTTGCAAAATGAATGTGCTTTTGATTGGAACTGTAAGGTGGTTACATTCCATCATGTTACGAATCACAGGACAATACATCATATTAACAATACTATGGACATAAGCTAAGAGAATATGTACAGGTACTAGCCTAATAATGAACAAAGCAAAAATATACCCTATTCCATCTGTCATTTTCTTTCTGTTTTCATTACAATTCCCTCAAAAATTCCGTCAGTGCCGAAATTACCAGAAAATTGTTGAGGATCAACTGGACCTGGGAGCTTGAAAGAGATGGAGAATTGTCCTGTTGGACAAAGGTTCTGAGTTTGCATCTCGAATACTTGGGAGTACTTCCGGACAGTCCTGTCACCAGCTGTTGTCATTCCCTTGATAAATACCTTACCATCACTCTCCACTTCACTAGTAAAATCTCCTGCATTTAACCATAAATTTTGAATTAATTAGTGATGAAAAATCGCTGATGTGACCTGTGATAGCGAAACCAGAAGCATCAGTATGCAATGCAATGAAGTACTGAGAGAATCAACCAGCAGAACTGTGATGAGAATGACTGCAATTTATAAGAGGATTTTGCGAATCAAATATGTTGAAGAAACCAGAAATTTGGACTTGTCACAAATTCAGGTGTCATTTATATCTGATATGATATTTATAACTTACTTTCATCTCTTTTTACTCCAGGGAGTGACACACGGAACAAGTAAGAGTCCTCGCTCTCTCCAACATCCAAGAGTCCTAGAACTGGTCCTATTTTACCCTTTGCTGCACTGCCAGTCACCGCAAATCCACTTTTAGTGGCAGCAACAATGTGACTTAGCTCCTCCTTAGAAGGGCGAGAAGGAAGGAAGACAATACTAAGCTCAAAGTCCTTAGAGCTGGTGTGCACCGATGATGGACCCGTATAACTGTCCGTCAGAGGACGGACATCTTTAAAGAGACTACCAAACGGAGTACCATTTAATTTCGTAGAGGTGTCTGGTGGTGCATCAGTAAACTGACCATCACCAGCATTCTTCCAGAGACTACTAAAAGGTGTATTATCAAACTGTCCGTTGCTATCAGGTCGAGTACTGTTGAATTGTCCGCCACAAACTTCCTTCAAGAGACTACTAAAAGATGTAGTGTCAAACTGTCCATTATTATCTGGTGGCATACCATTAAATGGTTCAACACAAGCAGCCTTCAAAAGACTAGTAAAGGAAGTATGTTCAAATTGTTCTTTATCAAGTGGTATATCATTAAAAGGTTCACCACAACTAGGCGTCTCCTTATATGGTAGGCTACTAGAAGCTACTGATGGATAGTGGAGGATATCTCCCGGCTTGGATACCTCCTGTTTTCCAACATTACTTAGAGCTTCATAATCAACACCGGCTTGTGACTTTGTGCAATCTTTATCCATAACAAGATGTGCTAGACCAGTGAGCTTCTTGAACCTCTTAACATCGTCTGGGTCCATATAACTGGTATCAGGGTCATTGAGGAATACAATGTTTGCAATAACATTATACACATGACAACATAAATGGGGATGCAGGCTGGGAGGAAATAGATCACAAAACCGAGGATAAGCTGCAGCTTGGCCGTGGTATAGTGTAGGAAGCTTTCCGTGAAAGAACTGGTGCAACCATGGTTGTGACAGGACAACAGACCGATCTGCCTTTCTTAATGCATGATAGTAAACCCTTTCTACTTCTATGGTTCTTAGGCATGAACCAGCTAGTTCATTGGAGATGTACGGAGGTAAGCCCAGATATTTTCTTTGTAGAACAGATTTTTTGCGATATTCTCCCTGGAGATCTGGTCCAAAGTAGGCTCCAGTGATGAAGTAAAGGAGGAAAAACTGATCATCCGTCGGAACCAATCCCCAGAAGTTCTTGTCCATGCTTGATCAAAACAGTAAGAACTATGTGAATCTATACAACGGCAACTAATCTGTTTCAGATGAAATGAAGCAGAGAAAATAGTGCATTTTAGCCAACCTTTAGTTTAAAACACGATTGATAGATATGACAAATGAGGACAGTAGTTGACAGCTCATGGAATGGAATCCTCAATGAGAAGTGTAGAACCAATTCTACAGAACATTATGGGATTTCAGAAGTCTAAGTCATAGAGAACTATGTCTTACAAGCATAGGCATAGAAACAAGAGGCGAGGAGAAGTTCTCTTAGAACTGAAAAGTAAGAAACAGGTGAGCCTTTTAAGAATATATCACCAAAGCATACTTGCATTTTTTTCAAATATAGATTTACGCATCACTATTTTTTACATTCTAAATAAACCTCTTCAGAGGAATTTCATGAGCGATGAAAAAATTTAGTCTGCCTTCTTTAGTTAGTCAGTTTCCATTAACCTTCTAAATAAACTATAGAATTATTGGCTTGTCAACCTTCAGAAGCATCTCTCAATTTACCAGTGATAGAAGCTGGAAATCTTTTGCTTAGAAGAAAAATTATCATTAAATATGAAATACAGTCATTAAAGTGACAGCATCAAAGAAAAAATGAAATAGGTCAGTAATTCCAATGCAAGCACAATACTGGGTGATTACAGCTGCTGGTTTTGTGAGCTATCAACAAATATTAAATAGTTTGAGAACATCTTCCTTTACTATCTTGTACTAATACTTTAAACGTGAGATAGGATTTATTAAGTAATAAATATAAACTAATGATCCATAATTAAACATGATTACTTCCATTAGTTTGATACCAGAGCAAGAGAATGAACAGAAATAACTTAAAATTGGTTGGATTTAAGCAGGTACAAACGCAAATTAAAAACAATTTTGACATTAGCAACAAATTGGCAAGTGAGAGTAGAGGTATACTATTCAAAACCCACATGCAAAAGAAAAAAGTACTGAAATTATCTTGGTAATTGGTTCAGATTATGTGAATTACCCAGTATTATCTCCAGTAATTTCCACCTAGAATATAATTCCATCAAAAACTTCATCTGTCATCAATAAACGCAGTCAAATTAACAACATTACATTGATGAATCTTACATGCAAGAATGCTAAATCCATGATAGTACACACTCAAACAATCAGAGAAATTGACAAAACAAAACACCTATTCAGCTGTATACATATTTAGACAAAGACACATGACTTCATTATGTGCAGTTTGCATATACTATATGCAAAAACTACAATTCTGTTTTTTCTTGGTCTACAAAAATGAATTGATTCCATGATTTTGAGACAAGTTAAAGTGTAGAATAAAGCGTACCAATGGGTTCTCCAGTTGAGCTGCTATTTTGAATGTCTCTTTGCTAGTAATTAGGTAGAGAGCCATGAACAATTTGGCCAGCAGTCATTCCATGCAGTGCCACGCGTCAACTTAAATGGACTATTTTTCATTTTTCCATTTAGATGTTACTACATAGTCCTAACAAGTGTTGCACCCAACATTAACTATTTTGTAAGGGAACTATATATAGAAACTCACCTTCAGCAATAAAATTCTTTAGGAGTTCATGTAAAGAATAGCTTTCACAGTTCCTTGGTCTACGATTTAGTTACTCAAAAATGGTGTACAGTAACTAATAATAGATATATGGTTACATGGTAAATAATAATAATATGAGAATTAATATGTAAAAGTTATTTACTCATTTTGTCTTTTAGATATTTTCACGCACATAAAATAAATAAATATATATACAAATATATATATTCTCTTATTTCACATTATATCCCATATATATAGACTCTCATATAATTTATACTAACACTAGCACGATATTTGATTTCCACCAATAGTAAACTCAAAGTAATAGATAGTACCAAATCAAACGTCATATATGCTATGTGGACAGTATATTAATATTGCAAATTTTTATGTTGAAAATAAAAATATGTGTCAACAATACACTAATACCAGTTTAATATTAGGTTCTTAGCCAAAAAAAAATTATATTGGAATTGGGGTTGAATACCTTTATTAATTTTGCATGTCTAAGTTTTCACACATTACCAGTTTAAATCCAGAATAAAAGAGAAAGATTATGGTAAGTTAAGCGTTATCAATATTAATTAATCGGAAAAGGGCCTAAAATGTCCCTCTACTATATGAAATTAGACATCAAAGTCCTCCGTTAAAAATTGGCCCCTTATCTGCCCTTGCCGTCTAAAAAAGGCTCAAAAATGTCCTTCTCCACTAACGGGAGNGCCCCTCTACTATATGAAATAGGACATCAAAGCCCTCCGTTAAAAGTTGGCCCCTTATCTGCCCTTGCCGTCTAAAAATGGGCTAAAAAATGTCCTTCTCCACTAACGGGAGACTCTAAAATCCACGTGGAATTACATTTGCCTATTTAAAAATTTCAATCCTAATTTAAAATGCCACATGGGTTGGAGTATTTTTAAATCCATGTGGCATTTTAAATTAGGATTGGAATTTTTATATAGGGAAATGTAATTCCACGTGGATTTTAGAGTCTCTCGTTAGTGGAGAAGGACATTTTTTAGCCCATTTTTAGACGGCAAGGGCAGATAAGGGGCCAACTTTTAACGGAGGGCTTTGATGTCCTATTTCATATAGTAGAGGGGCATTTTAGGTCCTTTTCCGTTAATTAATTAAGGATAAATCTTACAACATGAATAATGAGAAACTTGCTTATCTATATCTATATCTATCTATATCTATATCTATACTATATTAAAAGCACGAAAGCTCTTAGCGAAATGTCGGTTCGCCTTTTTTACCCTTTAAATAATAAATTTTACATTAGACAAAATCGTAATTTAGTTATTTTTCTAATATTTAGAACTTTAAAACTAACCAAAATTTTAAATATTAAGTCTTTCCTTATTTGAATTATGTTAGAAGTCCTAATATTAAGGACTTTAAAGTAGATATAGAATCATTACATTTCTTTTCCTTATATATCAACACAGCAACTTCCATGAAAATATGTTCATATTCATTCTTCTTATCAGGGAACTTATAATTCTAACTAGATGTTTCCATATATTGTTACTATTAAAAGTAAGAGATTTTCTACCTAATTAAATATTTATTCTAATTATTAAATGTGTTTAAATATTACACAAATTTAGGGATGTACATAGGTTGGGTTGGTTCGGATTTTACAATTACCAAATCAAACTAATTGTGTCGGATTATTAAATCTAAAGATCAAACCAAACCAATAAAATTCGGGGTTTTCACTCTCGGGTTTTCTCGTTATCGGGGTTTTTTCCGGTAAAATCTTCGTAGAACAAAACATATAAATTATGCTCAAAATATTTCTTTAGTCCTAGTAAGATACAACTATATAAAGTATTTTCCATGAAAATAATACAAAATATGAGATATGTCATGGCATTATCCTAAAATATTCAACAATAAAATTATGTAATATAAATATTGCTAGTTAAAAAGCCATAATAAAAATAAATATAATCTAAGAGTACTAAGTCATGCTAAAATAAGTAGACTAATAAGGAAGTATTAAATACATGACTAAACACTAAAAATAGGTTATGCATTTTATCTAAATTATTGCAAAATAAAAAATAGATATTCAATACATTCTCATTCGTAGTATTGAATTAAATGTCTTTTGTTAGCATTAATATTGATTTAATGTTAGTTTGGGCTTTTGTTAGCACTATTTAATTTACTAATGTTAATGACTATAAAACTTATTGGAACATACAAAAGTTCTAAGTCCAACCTTGAAATAATACCTCAAAAAATAAAATTATGAAATCTTTTAAGAAATATTTATAAATTACATCACAATAAGTATATTTATATATTAAATATATTTAAAATTTCTATATATGTAATGTCGGGTTGGTTTGGTTTCGGTTTGACTTTCTTTAGTTAAAACCAAACCATACAAATTATGGTCGGATTTTTTTTTTCCAATATCAAACCAACCCATAGTCGGATTTTTTTTCTCGGTTTGACTCGGATTATCGGGTTGGTGCGATTTGTCGGTTTCCTTTGTACAGACAAATTGATAACAGAATAATATATGATTTGAGTAGGAGAAAACTTTGAAATAATTTGCATCTTTTAGGAACTTATACTTTTTAGCGTGTTTCCCATCCTAATGAGTAATATTTTATAAGAAACTTACATGTCTTTTAAAAAATTGTGTCTGAGTAATAAAATAAATTGTGTCTGAAATTGTTGAATATTGATCCCATATAGCTAACTCAATAAAAGAAAAAAGTTTGTTCATGAAAGTCAGTCATTATTCAATATATACATCTTAAATTATATTCCAATCTATAATTTTATCAGTTCAATTTCACAAGTTATCATACTTTCTTTTTATTTTCAGTAAAAACACATAGTCCCGGAAGATTTAAAAAAAAATAATTTTTTTCAAAAACTATTCTCAAATTCATTTGAGAAGACATAAACACGGTATAGACTAAATATATATTTTGATTTTATATACAACTACTTTTTGTATTCAATTATTAAAAGACAGTGCTCTATTGAATAGACTATGTTAATATTCATCATTTTTAGGAACTTATGTTTTTTTCTTTGATAAAGTTTAATAACTCAAACACATTATTTAAAAATATTTATATAATTTTAAAAATTATATTCTTAGTGATACTAATAATTATTAAATATCCTTATTATGCTAGAACTAAAATACTAAATCACCCCAAAATGGGATTCATTTTCGTCCCAAAAAGGATAAAAAGAAAAATACTATTGCAGTATGGTACAAAAGAAAAAGAAAATTAAATGCACAAGTCAGCACAAGCAGGTAAAAAAGTGATTTAACTGGAGCAGGCCCTCAAGTCTTAAAATCAGAAGACCCGAATTGTAGAAAGCCAGTTACGCCGAGGAGACGAAAATAAGGCAGCAACGATGCATTCCTTTGGATACAGAGCCAATGCTCTGTTAACACTGGCAATCACCATACTTGCTTTTATGTGTGGCATCGCTTCTCTCTCTGACAATTTCAATTCTCCGGCTCCTACTGCTCAAGTTCAAGTACAACCGAAAACCCTACTCGAATTCAATTTTTTTAGTTTTTGGTACCGTTGTTTATTATTATTATTATTAGATCTGTTGTTTTTATAAAAGACCCATGTGTTTGATCACTTGATTCTTTTGTTTACATTTTTTTCTAGGTTTTGAATATTAATTGGTTCCAGAAGAAACCTGATGGTGACGACGAGGTATTTTTCTTTGCTGAAACATATGTTTTCTGATGATTTTGATAGGGGTTTTGGGGTTTTTTTGGGGCGTTATAGTTTCTGGTTAATTTTTGCTGAATCTGGCAAAGATTTAGGCGTTTAACTCTAAACTTGGTGTCTAAGATTGGTAATTGGGGCAAAGTTTTATGCTTTTAACTTTAAATTTGGTGTCTGGGATTGGGAATTGGGAATTGGGAATTGGGGCAAATACTTGTTGAAGTGTGTTTGGTTGACTTTTTCTTTTTCTAGTTCCTATTTCGAATCCATTGTATCCTTGCGTCATGATTATGGGCACTGCTGGATTCTTTGTGTAATCAGATGAAATTATATGTGACCTATATGCATTCTTGGCTAAATTAGTTGGCAATGGAAAAAACTTGAGATTTTCTGTTTTGAGGTATAAAATTGTTCAATTTATATAAATAAATAGTAACACATATAATTGTGTAAACTGCATATATTTTTCCATTATTCTAATTGTTTGCCATTCCTGTGATAACCGCACAGATATTACATCTATACTCTGTGGCTCAACCTTATTTGTCTATGTCACCTTCTTCAAACAAGCATATACCTATTCGACTTAATCTTGTCTCAGCACTAAATTTCTGATATTACCCTTATCCATTCCCAGCAGAGAGCCTAGGATGTTAATTTGAGTGCATTATCCATTTCTTGACTGGACAATCTTATGTGTTTTAGATCTGTTATAATTGAAATATCATTAAAAAACATGCTAGCATATGACATTTTATGTATTTGAAGGTATCTTCTCTTTTTATTTTTTTGCTTTTTCTTATCGATCTAAATGAAACTGGTTGCTGCTCTCATGTTAATTCCTAGTTAACATCGTTGATTAAGTGGTTCTATGAACTTCTTAATGTTTGAAAGAAGTTTGACTATATCATGTATACTTCTCTTTTTATGCAGATCAGTTTGACCTTAAACATATCAGCAGATTTACAATCATTGTTCACGTGGAATACTAAGCAGGTTTTTCTCTCTACCTTATTTGCACCATAATTTGGATTTTACTCTTTCATCCCTATTACTTGGGTCTGATTTTCTTATCTTCTATGTGGAGTACATATGAATGTCTGGATGTTTGGGTATGTATGCGTCTTATGTTCCACTAAGCTAATCTCTTGGACATTATATATGTACACTTTTCGTCCCTGGTCTAATATCATTGGAGTTCACTAGAGTGTAGAGGAGAGGTGGTCATTTAGTTGTTGATGCCACAGCTAACACTTGGAATTTTAGGATGTGAAATTGGAAAGTAGAATGTAATACAGAAATTTACCAGGCTATTGGTTACCTATAGCAATGTCAGATAGTAAAATCTATGCCTGTGAGAATGCTGGTTTTATTCACTTTCTTCCTTTTCTATTTTCTTTGGGACCAAATTTACAGTTGGAGGACATGATTTAGAGTGTCTTACAGCTTCACTATACCATTTATTGAAATTCTGTCAAGCATGAACCTAGCATGTGTAACAAGAGACGGGAATAATTCAAAAAGAACAAGACTCGCGTGCTCTGGGGTTCTGGTGTATGACAAGGTTTTTTTATATGACTGCAATAAGCTTACCAGATGTTCGAATTCAAATTTTATGGTTTTTAACTTCGGCCTCTTAAGATATATTTTGTATTGATCGGTCAGATTGCCTGTAAGTAGAGATTTCCTTTACACTTTGAGCGAGTATACAACTCTAATTATGCCAAAATTTGCAGGTATTTGTATTTTTGGCAGCTGAGTATGAAACTCCAAAGAATGCTCTAAATCAGGTCTATCTTTCATTGGTTTAGAACTGCATATATGTTTAATAGCTTCCTTGTATTATATTTATTGTTTGATAGTTATTTGAGGTTTGTGTCATTGTTTAATAAATGTACTGCAACTGAAAGTAAGTCTTAGCAGTAATTCAGTATGTATCAACGTGTCAGTCCTTTGCTTCTCCTTGTGAAAAAGGAATACAGTCCTGTACTTCTTTGTCAGTGATGGGATTTTCCTGTAAGTATGAGTATATGCTTAGCGAACCTAAGAGTGTGGCCTAATGTGGGTTAAGAATTATGAGGTCTCGGGTTCAAATCCAACGGGGCAAAAAATACTTGGCAAATTCTTCCCATCTGTCCAAAGTCTTGGTGGACAGAGTTACCTGGTACCTGTGCTGGTGGAAAGTAGCAGTAGGTATTAGTCGAGGTATGCACAAGCTGGACTGGATACCACGGTTAATAAAAAAGAGAGTATCTGCTTAGTGATACCTCTTGGGACTGTCTTCTCCTACTTGGGTGAGCAGGCTGTAGAAGCCCCAACAATACTGCAATCCCGAAATCTTTTAGGGACCTGCTTGAGAATTTGTTTTGTATCTTGTTTACCTACCAGATTAGAGTTTAGTTTAAATTCCTTCAACTGATCTGATAGCTTTACAAACAGATATCTCTGTGGGATGGTATTATCCCCAGTAAGGAGCATGCAAAATTTTTGATTCACACCACAAACAAGTATCGCTTCGTTGATCAGGTTAGTTTCGGAAGTATTTTGCTTTATTCTGTTTTCTTGGTCTTCTCATGGTATTCATAAGTACCTTATTCCTTGTTATAGGGAAGCAACCTCCGTGGTAAAGATTTTAATCTAACGCTTCATTGGCACGTTATGCCAAAGACCGGAAAAATGTCTGCAAACAAACTTGTGATGACTGGTTACCGCTTGCCAGAGACATACAGATGATGGAAGTTTTTTCTTTGTGCAATTTATCTGTAACTTTAGCCTCCACTGACAGAAAGGGAAAAAGGTGCTTAAACGAGATGAATTGGATAATTTTGTAGCGGATAATGTCACAGAGCTATTTATTGGCTTCAAATTCATTCACATATTGGAACTCTAGACCTTTAATATCGGCCGTTCTTTTATGATTGTTTTGATCGACTAAAACCTCAATTATTGCCTTTCCTCTGCTGGTCGGAGAACCTTAATAGGTATTTGGACAATATTAAAAGAAAAGGTGCTTGAAGTTAAAACTGAAAAGAAGTTGGTGGAAGAAGATAGCTTTTAGTGAAGTTTCCAACTGCAGGTAATTTTATGTGGGGAGGCTTCAGCAGTAAAAAGTATAGTAAACACTGAAAAGGTTTTCACTTCGCGAAAATGGAAAGGGATAAATCAAACAAATGGAATTTTATTGTTGTTGTCGGAGTATTTCCCCACTGACGCCCTTTTCCCCAATTCTTTAAAACAGTATCTTAAGGATTACTTTCAATGTCTGCATTTGCTATTTATTTGTCATCGATGAATACAGCTGTTTTTTAGCAAGCTTGTTCTTATTATGAATCAACTACATAAAAAATTAACTATTGTTTCGTTTTGATGTAGATTTAAGTGGATGTAAAATCTACCTACTCATGCATATGTGCTTACTATCATAATGCAGAAGATAATAATTGTATTGCAAAAATTTAAGTTAGCCTTTTGCACTTCTTATTGAGCTATCTGCATCTTTAAGTTGCACTGTGTGAATAAGAATATTTAAAGACAAATATACCCTTATTAAGCCAGCGGTCTTTATTAGATCGAAGAACAAAACCATTACTGGAAGATTTGTGAAGGAAGGGACCAATTTGGTCGTTGTGTGGCGATGTGGAGCTGACCAGGAAGGCAGTGGCAGATCCAGAGTGGAAGATACTTGTTCATTCAAATATAAACTTTAAATCCTGGATCTGGATCTGCCTCTACGGGAGGAGTAGTGGATGTGCCTTAGGCTTCTTTATTCTTTTTCATGGACAACCATCTATGGTGGAATTAATATTTTTTTAAGGAACGGATTTTGTGATAAGTTATGATCAATCAAATGGAGGTCATTGAGCTAGCTACTACTAGATAATTGAAGCCACAAACAAATAGACAATGACAACACTTTGCGGGATATGTGGAAATCCTTGTAAAACGACTGACAAACTGAAGTTTATCATCAATACCATGTGTCTTAAAACCTCGAACACACGGAAATTGTCTTGTTCTCTTTAAATACGACAGTCCAAAGAGAGCATGATCATGTTAAAAACTTACATGCCAAACTGAGTTTGTTGACAGGAAAACCATGTTTAACGTCATTGAAATAGCTCTCAAACAAGAATGAAAGACAACAGTCTGGCGTGCATCATCACATGAAAAATGACAAAACAGCTCAAATATTGTCTCTATCCTTAACTATAGATAAAGCCCTAGCTAAACTACAGACCTTTCCCACACTATAAATGTGTATACTCGCTCTTGTTCATCAATACTAAAAGGTAGTAACAAAAAGTTCTCTTCTCTTCTATCTAAGTATGGCCTCATCAATCTTTCACTTTCTTCTTACTTTCTTAGCTCTCTCAAATCTTGTTTTTCTATCACAATCAGAAGTTACTAGTACTAGAGCCCCCTTCAAACCTAATGGTCTTGTTTTGCCAGTGTATAAGGATTCTGCCACAGGTCTTCACATAGCTAACATCACTAAAAGAATTCCTCAGCGATCACTCCCATTTCTCATTGACTTGAATGGCAGGTTCTTGTGGGTAAATTGTGAAACAAACTATCTTTCGAACACCTATTTTGCTCCCTTTTGTCGCTCAACTCAATGTTCTCGCGCTGGTGTTCATACTTGCAACAAATGTTTCTCTCCTTCACCTAGACCTGGTTGTCATAACAACACTTGTGCTGTTACAACAACAAACCCTTTAACTCTCCAAACTGCCATTAGCGAAATCGCTCAAGATTCTCTCTCAATTCAGTCTATTAGTACTACTCAAGGTTCAAATACTGGTCCTTTAGTTACTATCCGTCATTTTCTCTTTGCTTGTTCGCCTTCATCTTTGTTACAAGGTCCTTTACCTAGAAATGTTCAAGGAGTAGCTGGATTAGGCCATGATTCAGTCTCTCTCCCAATTCAACTTGCTTCTCATTTCGGACTACCTCGTCAATTTGCCTTGTGTTTACCCTCTTCCTCACAGAAAAATGGTGCAATATTTTTCGGGACTAGTGGATCATATGAAACACAACCAGGACTAGATGTGTCACGAAATTTAACCTACACACCGCTAATCATTGGTGCACAAGGCGAATATTTCATCCCAGTGAGATCGATAAAGGTAAATAACAAGCTTGTACCAATGAACCGTTCATCTTTAATTACAACGAGGAGTCGAAATTTTGGTGGTGCAAAGATTAGTACTATAAGGCCATACACAGTTCTTGAGCACAACATTTTCGCTGTTTTCACTCAATTTTTCGCCAACCAACTCTCAGGGGTTTCTCGAGTGAATCCAATATCACCATTCGGACTGTGTTTCAATTCAAACAACTTAACAAGCACCAATGTTCCAAACATTGATTTTGTCATGCAAAATAGGAATGTTACGTGGACGATTACTAGGGCAAATTCAATGGTACAAGCACGACCTGGTGTGTCTTGCTTGGCTTTTGTTGATGGAGGAGAAAACCCAAAGAATCCAATAGTGATAGGGGTACATCAATTAGAAGATAACTTTGTTCAGTTTGATCTTGTGAGGTCCAGATTGGGTTTTAGTTCTTCCTTACTGTCACGTAACACTAGTTGTTCTAACTTCAACTTCACTACATCCACCTCCTTCGTTGATGATATGGAGTGAATTATGATCTGAAGATTTTCCTATTAAGGGTTTCAAATACATGTATGAGTCTGTATGTCTTTTTTTTTTCCCCCTAATGTTCATGTACTAGTTATTTCTCCTTTTTCTGTACTTTCTCCAAACCAAGCATTGGGTAGTTTAAGGTCTATGTAATATATGTACGTACTTTTAGTTTAAGTAAATTAATATCTTTTGTTGTTGTTCCCTCTTAAGATGCAAGTGTGGTTTTGATGCAAGGAGCGTTTGATTTCAATTTCTTTCGCTAACTAATTAACTCATTAATTAGAATCCTCTCTTATTGATGAAATCCAAGATCTAATCTGAGTTGCTGAGCTGAAAATAAAGAAGAAGCGGTTACACTAATGGAGAAGAAAAGAGTTCCTTCATTTTCTATTAATCTGGTTACAAACACTGTACACTACCCGTGTACATATACTAACAAGTTAGCTACTAACTACCTACTTAACGAACTAACCTTCTACTAACTTAACTTAGCTGACATCCAGCTGTATATTCCACTAACTATAAACCTAACACTTCAACATCCTCCCTCAAGCTGAATGTTGAAACAAGTCTTTTAACTTCAGCTTGGACGGTAGATAGCCGTGTTGCACTTTCCTAAGTCTTTTAGTCAGTAAATCATCTTGTTGTTCCTTGGTAGGTACGTGATGAGGCTTAATCAGTCCTTGTACATTTTTTTCCCTCACAAGGTGACAATTGATATCAATATGTTTGATCTTTCATGGAATATAGGATTAGCTGCAATCTGAATTGCAGCTTTGCTATCACAGTGTAAGTCTATAGGCAAGGACAACTTAACTCCTAGTTCTGAAAACAATCCTGTAAGCCAAGTTAGCTCTGCAATTGTTGAAGCCATACTCTTACATTCTACTTCTTCTGAGCTCCTGACCACTGTCTCCTGTTTCTTGAATTTCCAGGATATTAGTACATCACCAAATATGACCACATATCCTGTAACAAATCTTCTAGTTTGTAAATTTCCACCCCAATCCGAGCCACAATAGGCTTCAAGTCTTCCTGAGTCTTCTGAGGGCATCAACAGACCAAGACCTGGAGCAGTCTTGATGTATCTAACTACACTTAAAGCAACATCTATATGAGGCTACTTTGGTTTGTGCATAAATTGGTTGAGCACCTGCACTACATATGAGATATCAATTCTAGCCATAGTGAGATATAAAAGCCTGGCAATCAATCTCTAATAAGGTCCAACATTTTCTAATTCGTTATCCTTTTGCATTAGCTGCATTAGAAGAGTCTTTTTTCATAAAAGTGTCAAACTCAGCAGAAGTAAGCCTTGAACTGGTCTCCAAGGGTGTACCAGCAGGTTTGGCACCACCAAGCCCTGACTCTGCAATCAACTCCAAAGCATACTTTCTTTGACTCATAAATATCTCTTGTTTTGATCTGGAAAACTCTATCCCCAAAAAGAACTTAAGTTCACCTAGATCCTTAAAACACAGCTGGAACAGCTCTAGGAACAAACTTGTCTAATCTTCTCACATCAGTAACATAGCCTAGACAGCCAAACACTCTCATATAGTCCAAAGAAGGAACATGACCAATTAAAGCTTCAAAGGAGACTTGTCTTGAAGGACTATCGAGGTTAGCCTATTGATGATAGATACAACAGTGGTGACTCATTCACCCTAGAATTTGAGAGGTACAGAAGCTTGAAACCTTAGTGATCTAGCCAATTCCAGAATATACCTGTGCCTTTTCTCAGTTACTCTATTCTGTTGTAGAGTATATATACAAGAACTCTGGTGAATGATTCCTTTAGTCTGCAGCAACTCAGCTACTTGAGAGTTGAGAATTCACTAACATTATCTGATCTAAAGACTTTCACAAAAGCTAAATAAACATTTTGAATCATAGAAATAAAGGATCTAAGAATAACAATCACTTCTGACTTGGTAGGCAACATAAATAACCAAGTATGTCAAGAGTAGCCATCTACAAAAGTTAAAAAATAATTATTCCCATTATAACTAGGAACTTGTTTACCGTGAAAATGGTAATAACAATTAAATTTAATTTAGTGGTTCTAAAAATACATAATCTATTTTTATGATAGTTGTTAGGCAGTTGATGCTATATGAAAGACTTAGAAATGAAATAAGAGCTTAAAAACGAGATATTAATCAAACCGAATCGTTATCAATTGGGGCCTCGAGCTTGCCAATTCGAGGGCCTCGGGGTCGAGTCCGAATCTCAGTTGGGAGCTATCGAGGATGGGGAATAACAATTATAAACAAAGAAATGACGGCTCTGTATGGCTAGTAATAAGCAATAAATGAAGAACAATAGATAGAACACAATAAATATGATCATTAAAAGAGATAACGAGACCAAGAGAATGTGTTAGAGAGCATAGAGAATGTTCTAGTATTTTTGGTATGAAGCAACAAATGTTTACAAAATGATAAAGATCCCCTTTATATAAGAGGGGGAATCCTAAATAGTACAAGTGCATTTATTATAAAGATATGGAGATGAGACACCTAGTTAATGCCACGATATGGGCTCAGACTAGCCTGACAGATTTTGTCGGCTCTAGTTTCGCCTTGGGAACTCCCCACTTTCTTCCCGTAACCGTCGGTCTCATACTGTCCCGAGGTCGAGCATCGATAGCCCTCGAGGGATGAAACTTCTATCGTGATTTCGGGCCTTCAAGGTGTCATAATGATAGAAAATTGGACCCTCCGATTTTACCATATACAGATAGTCCCCGCGTTTCTTAGAGTAAAATGACAAGAAACGACCTTAATAACCATCTTTTCGAATTTCCCGCGATAATGTTATGCTGATGACGTTATACTCATGATATAGGCTTTTGTGGAAACCGAAGCGTCTTGCTGACTTGTCTTTTAGCGTCTTTCAATGCACAATCTATCCTTGTCCTTCTAAGCGATAATATCACCACCGATTCAGTTTCCAAAATGTATTAATTGCGCCTGCCGATACGTCTTTGAAGGACATTGATGGCGCCATCGGTTGCGTTTTTCAAAAGAGTATTGATTGTACCCGCCAGTTACTATAAGGCACCATGAAAATTTTTGCTCAAAACCCGAGATCTCGTAGCATCAAGTTAGGAATATGTGTTAGAAATTTATAAAATTCTTGGTTCGGACCCTTTGGATTGATCTGTGCGTTAAAGAGTTAAGGAATAATGTTTTTTCAGAAGCGCGTGTTTTTGTGGTCCATTATGAGGTCACATAATAGCTATGCAGACCGCATAGTCGCCGCAGAGTAAGGCAGTTTGATGGTTAATTTTGAGGTCAACTATGCGGCCAATTATGCAATCGCATAATCAATATACGGGCCGCATAGTCATCGCATATTCTCCTTGGAATTTTGCGAGGGGCAGTTCTGCGGTGCATTATGCGACCGCTGAACGGGTATGCGGACCGCATTCTTGTCGCATACCCGGGCAGTTTGATCATGTTTTGGGGGCCATTTTGCATTCCCTTTTGTGGACCGCATGTCAATTATACGATCGCAGATTGTGTCGGGGCTCCTATTTTCTAACTTTTAAAACCCGACCCCATCCCATTAAAAACACCTCATTAGACCCCTTTTTATGTTATTCTACTGCAAATAGAGTTCTAGAGGGAAAAACTAACTCTCACCAAGTCACTACAATCCTTGCCCAAATCTTTGAAGGCTTTCAAGTAAAATTTGCTAGACCTTCATCCTAAAAAGTAAGAACTTGTGCCCTAATCTATGATTTCGAAATTTCTATTAAAATAAGTGATTAACAAGTGGGTTCATGGGTATAAGGATTTATATCTTACATGCATAAATGATAATAGGTTATGGGGAGATTGTGAGTTAAAAATATAGCAATTGAGGTGTAAGATGATAAAAATCTCTCACAAAAGGGTCCTAAAATCACAATGCATACTTAGTGCTTGATAATATACTCAAATGAGCTAGAATCTTAATCATGACTCTAATTTTTGGTTCAACTTGTAATTCTTATAAAATAGATTAAAGTTGCTAAGAGTTCCGGAATTTTGTAAGAATTTAAGGAAAGCTCTATTGAGGTAGGTATGGCTAAACCTCCCTCTTTTTAGAAATTGAGCTCCGTTGGTGTATATGTAACTGTTGAAAGACTGAAATCGGATTGATGCATTGATTGTTATTTCACATGAATTGGTTTTGCAATTATATATACGTGAAAGGTGTGCCTCAATGTGTTCAATATACTAATCTTGATAATTTAAAGATGTGTGAAGAATATGAACCATGTGTTGAAATGCCTAGACTTCAAGTCAAGATTAAAATTGAGATTGTCATGCCAACTATGTGAAATCTTGCCTATGCTTACAACTTAAATTGCTCTTGTATGTGCCTATTATCCTATATTGCAAAGGTTAACATTGAAAGTGGAAATGATGTGAAACGTGGCCTAGTGCCAAGTATGATGGGATAATTGTGGCCCCAAGTGCCATGAATTGATATATGTGTGATAAATATTAAGATGAGAAAATTAATGAAAAAGGAACAACGTCTTGGGAAGACGGCCTAGCCGATCGGGCCGTGATCGTACGCCATGCCGAACACATGGTGGTATTGTGCTGATATTGAATATAGAAAATGAGAATGAGATGGTGATTGAGATACATGTCTCAAATGAGGCAACCTAGCCGATCGGGTCGTGATCAGATTCCGCACAAGAAAGCGGTGGTATTATGAATGATGATGAATGGTATTAAATGCCCCAACCTAAAGCTATGGAAATTATGTGATAGTTATATGATTATTTTATTTGATGATGTGGTGATCGTTTAAAGCTTTTGATTGATACTTGTGAATTCCTTGTTCCTGTATGATAGTTCTTGCATATGTACCTTTTTTGATTCTTTGTTTGTGTGTAAGGACCCATCATGGGCTTTTGTAATCATATGTAAGGACCCCTTGTGGGCTTTTGTAATCGAATGTGTATGAATAAAAACTGTTTCTTTAATTCGTCTCTAATGTATACTATTTTCCCTTTATCTATGCTTGTGTAGAATCTAAGTGCATGACCCCATCGGTTGGTGCAAATATTGAGCCCGGGTTGGACTGATAAACTCGAGTCATCGGGACCCTGAATTTGAGTTGAATGCGAGTAGGGCTTCGAACCCCCAAATCGACACTTAGCCTTTAGACCCTATGATAATACTTGAGGGGGGATTCGCTCGGA